ACACACACACACACACACACACACACACACACACCAGAAATGAAATGCGGTGTCGTAGCACCTGCTAATGATAATGTTCCACTGACCCACAATACACTGTAAAGGCAGAGAAATATGACACTTAAAAGTTCAAGTCTATCATCATCACACCTCCTCATCCTTGAACAACACTGAAAACACTCACTCAGCAGTGAATAATGGGAATAAAGCACTCATTCAGTAAAGAACGGATGCTCCAAAGCATTCAGCGCAGAGATTCGTTTCAACGGGTCGAACGTCAGCATTTCCTGTTGAGACAGAAGAAAATAAGAGTCAACAAAACGCTACTCATTTAGTTAGTTACTGTGTGCAGCAACCCGTCAAACAAACATTCAAATTAGTGTTATTCAGTATCACTATTATATAGTTTCTATTATAGTTTGTTAATATTATATTTTTATATGTTCATCTTAATTTTAAAGCTTTAGTAATTTTGGTGTTTTTATTATTTTTAGTCGTTTTAGTATTTCAAATGAAAGAAAATGAGAAATTATGTCTTGACAACTAGCTGAAATAATTATATACATTCTTTTATTTCAGTTCATTTATTTTAAGTAACGAAAACCGTTTTCAACGATATTAACCCAGATTTTGAAGTGAGAATCTGAGAAAGTAATGTTGATCACACACACACTGACTGTTGTTTTGTTGCTTTACTCTGGTAAAACTGTAGCTGTATGTGGAGTGACACTGAATGTAAACGCACCAGTAAGAGCTCCGCCCCCTTCTCGCTGATCTCAGGAAGGCAGTCTGTGATTGGCTGAGGGGCTTGAGGGCTGAAGTTCTGCCAAGACAGAGTGACATCAGTGGGCCACTCGTCTTCAGCCGGCAGGCCGATCACTCTGTCAATCACATGTGGATTTAATAAAGCAATGAAACACTGTCTCTGTGTCAGTGAACCTTGTGTTGAGTCTGACAGCCATTACTGCTGACGCTCACGTAATGAGAGATGTTTGCTAATGATGATAGCCTCTCTAACATGAGCGTGTGTTTACATACGCAAAAATCTTGCTCAGCTGGTCCACCTCTGAATCTCCACAGAAGAGAGGTCTGAAAGATGAGACGTCACATTACAAATCATTAATGACCAGTCAGTGAATGCACTAATCAACAGACCTGATGGGAAAATCGGGATTAGAAAGCCAGCCATTAATCAACGCTTTATCAAAGCTTTCACAAGAATGTTTGCAGATTTAAATTCTGAGTGGATGAGCCACATTCAAAGCGGCTGAGAAATGTGCAATACACTGCGGTGTAATATATAACCTGGCTCTCTGATGAATGAAATCGCTCTGATAAATGTAAATGCATCGGCATATGTCCATAAATAATGTATTTCAGATTCTTTTACTTCATTAAACAGGCTAACTGAATGTTTTAAATACTCAAGACGTTTTATTTAATATATGTGACCCTGGAGCACAAAACCAGTCTCAAGTCGCTGGGGTATATATCTAGCGTAGCGTTAGTTCTGGCAGGTCACGTTAGTCAAGCTCACATCAGCTGACTATTGGTTTGCACTAATATTTAATACAAAATAATTAGAGGTTGACTGATGCTGATACAAAGACAACATATTCAAAGAATTCAATAGCCAGATTATTGTAAAATCTATATATCGACTGTTCCGAATAATGTTCTTAATCGATCTTTCCTGTGAATCTCTTTCATTAATCGAGCTAATTCTTAAGGAAAGGCTCATCATTTACTGGACACTGGTAAAGCAGCGTCTTTGAGGGCTTTTCACAAAGGCCACATTGAGCTGTGACAGTTTGATAGGGTACGCAGACTCAATAATAAGTTGCACGTGAGCATTTACAGCCTCCTGGAAGATGCTTTCAGCCCGATTGACTTGATGAGCATCACTGCTCAGCCTCACTTGCGTCTGAACATCTCGGCGAAGATGCAGCCGGTGCTCCAGATATCCAGCGGCGTGGCGTAAGTGGTCTGGAGCAGCACCTCCGGAGAGCGATACCACAGCGTCACCACCTGAGCGACCAGAGAAACACATCAGCTGCGTCTGCGCTGCAGTGCCATCAGCGTTCAGCACGCGAGAGCACGTGTGTCTGTCTCACCACCGGTGTGAGAGCCATGTGGCAGCTGTAGATCCGTGCCAGGCCGAAGTCAGCCAGCTTCACCTGCCCTCTGCTGGTCACCAGGATGTTCTCCGGCTTCAGGTCCCGGTGGAGAACTCGATTCGAGTGCAAGAACGCCAGCCCACACAGCAGCTGCTGCATCAAGTCCTGCATCACACGCAGACACAGAGCATCTGCCATTAACAGTGTAATTAGTCAGTACTGAGTAATATTACTGTAGGGTTAGGCTTTGGGTGAAATGTAAAAACTACACTAGAGAAAGTACTGGGTAATGCAAGGTAACTCCATGGGTTAAGGTAAGGTTCAGGGTTAGTATTTAGTTATTACCCAGTTACTGTAATTACTATTAGAAGTACATAGTATGTACATGTGGAACAGGACTGTAAAATAAAGTGCTACTGTTACGTAGGCTGCGTGTTACATTTGTAACAAGGACACTAAAATCACATGTCACCTACATCTGTCTCAGGTGACTGGAACATGGGTGGCTCATGTTATTTGAAAGCATTTCAAACCTTTCTGTTGACATGTTTTAGGTGAGCTTTCGCTGCTTCCCATCATGCATCAGGACATGTCAGCGTTCGCATGTTTCTAAACGTCTCCAGAAATACAGCAAACAATGTAATATTGTGAAATAATATTACCATTTAAAATAACTCTTTTGTGTGAATATCTTTATTCCTGTGATGCAAAGCTGATTTTTATGCTGATTTGCAGCTCAAGAAACATTATTTAATATCAATGTTAAAAATATATATATATTTTTTTTTTCATAGTTTTTGTGGAAACCGTGATACATTTCAATTCTCAGGATTCTTAGGTGAATAGAAAGTTCAAAAGAACAGCATCGATTTGAAATATAAATCTTTGGTAACATTATAAATTACTTTCACTTTTGATCGATTTAATGCGTCCTTGCCAAATAAAAGTATTAAAGGGTTAGTTCACCCAAAAATGAAAATTAGCCCATAAATGACTCACCCTCAAGGCATCCTAGGTATATATGACTTTCTTCTTTCAGACGAATCCAGTCGGAGTTATATTCAAAATTGTCTTTGATCTTTCAAGCTGTTTCATGGCACTCAGCGGGTGTTGCATGCATCAGTCCAAAACAAGTTAAATAAAAATCGCCCATCCATAATAAAAAGTGTCTCACGCGGCTCCGGGGGCTGAACAAAGGCCTCCTGTAGCGAATCGATGCGTTTTTGTAAGAAAAATATCCATATTCAAAACGTAATAATCACTTTAATCTAGCTTGCGCTCACTGTTGTACACGGAAGCAGCTCCGGGCGGATGACGTATGAGTTCAGCGCTGCCGCTCAGAAGTGACGAACGCGGAAACGCAGCGGAGAGATCAAAACAAAACAACGGTCACTTATTAGAAGTACAAAACGAGGATTTGTAAAGAAGAATGTCGGAGGTAGTGTTGTCAAAAGACCCAGTATTTCGGTACCAAGTCGGTACTGAAAAAATGAAAACTATGGGCTAATTTTCATTTTTGGGTGAACTAACCCTTTAATCTCTTGATTTTTCTTAACGACCCTACAGACTAGTTCAGTGTTTTCATGCCAATGCTGAATTCAATAATGAATGCAAAAAAAGTTTTTTTTTTAATGTAATGAAAACAAGTCTTTCTGGGGTGCGTTTCTATCATTACCAACAGAGTTCAATGGAAATTGTGACCATAGTTAGCTAACAATGCTTTTGGGAAACGCACCCATGAACAGTTAGAACATTACATTAATGTCAAGGGAAACATCCAGTAGATATGTTACAGCACAAGGCTGCAAAGAAAAGGTTGGGAGTGTCTGAACTAGTGGACTGAAGTCTTGCCTCAGTCTGAAAGCATTCAGTTTGTGTCTGAACTTCCTTCACTGTATACTTAACTTAATCACTGAACCGCAAACAAACATTTGGACTTGATCTATATTTATGCCAGTGTGTTACTACATGAAGCTTCAGATGAAGTCTGACACTAAACATCTGGCTCAGATCCTCTGAAAACCCCCAGAGGATGGGCTTCTGCAGCGTGTTGGTGATCTTACTCTGATCTGGTGGATGGGCAGCCCAGGTGCCGGCACTTTCTCCAGATACGTCCTGAGGTCCTGATCCACGTGCTCAAACACTAGAGTCACTTTAGTCTCCTGGTCTGTTCTCAGTGTGGCGCACACGTCCATCAGCCTGAAAACACACACACACACCTAAGAATTTATTTTATATTAAAAGTATATTTTCCTTTTCCCCCCAAAACCACTTCAAACATCAGTATTTAACATTTTGACATCAAAACATCATTTATGCACTTGTAACTGCAGGTGAACTACTTTCATGTCCTGCATTAAACAGTCTGAGTGAAAGCATCTAAATGCCACTTCAGACACAGATTCTGTTCCTCTGCATTGCAAACACAGATTTTGTTGATACTGATTTCATTTGATTGGTAACAGCCCTGTAGTCTCTTACTATTTGAATTGAATTTATTGATTAAATGTATGAATTTGACTAAAAAGATGATGCATACATTTAATTAAGTTAGAGAAAATTGGTCTTGTGAAGGTAAAAATTCCCATAAAAGGTCAAAATCTATTTAAACTTATTGGACAAGTTAATTTCTGTTGCTGCTGCAAACTATCCACCGCACAGAATATGAAGAATATCAAAAGCTTTGGGAGTCAGATGTCCACAGCAGTCCTAAACCTGCCAAAATACCAGCACAGTAACACACTCAGCGAAATATCATCATCGACAAAACGCTACAAAATATCAAGATATCATATTTTGTTATCTGTGTCTGTGTTTCTGTCTGTGTGTGTGTGTGTGTGTGTCTGTGTGTGTGTGTGTCTGTGTGAGTGTGTGTCTGTGTGTCTGTGTCTGTGTGTGTCTGTATCTGTGTGTGTGTGTGTGTGTGTCTGTACCTGACAATGTTGGGATGGTCGAACTGCTCGAGTCGTTTGAGCAGTGCCACCTCTCGCACCGTGGACAGAGGAAGGCCGTCCTGATTGGTCTGCACTCTCACACTCTTCAGAGCCACAAACTGCCCGGTGTTTCTATCTCGAGCCTTGTACACCATCCCATAAGCGCCGCCGCCAATCTCCGCCACCGGCTCGTACTGCACCGCGCTCTCCTGCGCCATGCCCTGCAGCAAACAACACGCCATGACACGGCTCTCTGTGACCGCTGAAGGACACCAAACTGTGTGACTTAGGGTTCGTGTTTTAAACTCTAGTCTGGGGAACCCTAGAAACACTGTTTTGAAAATGTCTGTAATTCTATTGAGAGGAAACGTACATATATGTATGTGTATATATAGTGTTCACTGACTTAATAGAACACGTTTAAACATTTTACAGTATAAATTGAGGTTTGGAGAGTTTAGAATGAGAATACAGATCTGTCACTGTATTTCAGGAAGGGGATCAGTGGCTTTAAAAAGTTTGGGAACTCACTGTATAACTGACCATTGTCCCAGACGGCTGCTTGGATACTTGTTGGACTGTGCAAAAAACATGCATTTACCATGGTGTTTTACATTAGTGAACACAGTACCCTGGTAGAGTACAGCTGATTTGGGTTTGGCCTGTAACAGTCCCACTCTCGCAGGATGAGACACCACATCCGCCGACTCTTCAGAACACGACATCAAACGAGGCGACATTACGAGTGATACACACTCACACACACACTCAACGAGACACACTCACCACGTTTCTTCTGCTCGCGTGTAGCGCTAGTTAAACTAGTTTAGAAGAGTACAGCGCGCGTCTCATCTCTTCCTCCGTCTGCCGCGCTTCAGAGGTGTCCTGCTGGCTTCTGTAGTGTGTGTTGTTGAGCTCAGCTGATATTTGATGAGTTTATTTCATGGAAGAGTGTGTGTGAAACTCTGGCCTGTTCTCAGTCTGTCTCCACTTCCTGTCTGATCTCAGGGCGGAGCGACACGACCTCCAATCACCTCACCTCCATAACTTTAACTAGTCACACAATAATAACAGACTTTATCATTAAACTGGTTATTCACATTTTAAATGTAAAAATCTTTGGTAATGGGCACATTAAACTAGTATTTTGTTTCTCTACCCTGCATGTATGTAATATTTTTGTACTTTATTTTATCTTGGCTTGGCATTAAAATGTATAACTAATGTAATGTGTGTGTATATAGTGTAATGTAAATGAGTCATAAAATTAGTGAAACTCATCAATTTTAAGAGTAAGGAGTTTAAGAATGAAATCTACTAAATGTCATGTCATTACAAATCTAAAAGATTTTTGTGTTTCTTGTAAACACAAATTAAAATATTTTAAATTAAACCTGTCCCCCTGTTGAAAGTCCATGTAACCAAAGCTATGGCACTTCAAAAAGTTCATAAAGACATAGTAGCTAATAGAATTCAGAATCAAACGTTTAATCCAAGAATTAATGTAAGCTTTTATTCCCATATTAATGCTGATCACTGCACATGCATACAGCTCATTAAATAAGGTCAACAACATCTCAAAGAAGTCAGGAGACTTGGATTAAACGGCTTGATTCATGTGTCTTTATTACTGGATTAGTTTTACAGTGCCTTAATAAACTTTTTGAAGCATCAGAGTTTTGGTTGCATGGACTTTCAATGGAAGGACAGAAATCTCTCAGATTCCATTAGAAATGTTTTCGTTTGTGTTTCAGAAATGAACGAGGACGGGTGAGTGAACGATGACAGAATTGTTATTTTGAGTGTCACAAGCAAAGACTACAATGATGTAGGCACAAAATGGTTGGCTCCTAAAACAATATAGGACTATACACCAACAATGAGTCTAAAGGATAATATGGGATATGCTTTACACTATTTATTCATGATTTAATAGATTGCACTGATTACTTTGAAAATCAGTTATTTCTTCATGAGAAATAAAGGAAAAGCATAATATTATTTCCTGCATCACATTGACACCTTGCCCAATGTTTAGATCCAAATAATGTGCAAACTAACGTCTATAAAACAAATATAAATGTAGGCTTTATAATGTGTAAAAAAAAAAAATTGATCCACACAATCAAAACAAAAGCAACCCAGTCAGCAAATGTCCTTTGTCCAACAGTTAAAGTGTGGCCCAATTAGTTTGTGTTCGCCGGCCCAAAACTGGTCAACACATCTTTTTAGCCAGAACTGAACCTGAACAGTGCCGTAATCCAACCCAGAGTGAGCCAAATAATAAAAACAGATGTGGCTGATATATGGACCTTATATGGTATTCTTATATGGCTGAGTTCTGTAAAGGGCTGACGGCCCTTATGTGGCCCACACGTGGCTGATAAACCAAATGCCATTATTTAACCATATTTACACCACACCTATATATTTTTTAAATACCTATTACTCAGTAAATCTTAAACACAAAAATGGATTCACACTCATTTAAAAAATGTTTATAGTAGAATTTTAATAACAGAATTACAATACAGAACATAAAAGAAGTTGATACATTTAGTAAGTCTCGCCAGTCTTTCTCACTCACATCTGTCCGGAAAAAGAAAAGAAAAAAGAACATTAGTATATCATAATTAGTATCATAGATATTATTTCAAGACAAGCACATAAATGAGTGTACATCAGCACTGCACACATTCTTTTCTATCACCCAAGACATGAGTGCCTTTTTAAATTAGGAAAATTTTAGCTACTTTAATAACAGGCTATTTTTAGACATAATACTTAAT